AAATAACTTTTGATATCTTACAAAGGTAATTTTAGATAAATATTAAATAATAATATTATTTAATGTATATTGTATTACTAAAATATACATTGAATACAAGTTAAATAATTTACATTACATAAAAAAAAGTTTTATACCATGTCAGTGGCAACAATAGGTTCCCAATTTTCTCTAAAAAGCATAGAAAAACCTAAAATTTAATAACATAGTTTGTTTTCTTTAAAAAAAAAAAAATCGAGTTTATATGTATACAAAAACCTAGCCTCATTTAACTTCTGTGTGGTATTAGAAAAAAGACGGCCAAGTTCCCGTGAAAGAAGCTGCAATTGAGCTATACTTACAGTACCACGGAGTTTATTCATTAAACAATCAGTGGAACTACTAGAGTACACTTCCCAGGCCTTTCAAAGATGTATGTGTATACTTATGAAGTCTTACATTTTGATTAGCTAATGATATAGTATGACGCGTGTTCAATCACAACTTTAGTGCAATGGTGTTCCATCACCAAAAATTCCCAAAGTCCCAAATGTCTTTTGTTTTTCTCTTTTGAAATATTTAGCAACATAAATTTCAAAAGAGGTCAAGGTCCCTGGGTCTTGATTCTTCGCCGTGATGGATTAGGTGACGGTCTATAACGTGTGGAGAGAACAATTAAGCATTATGGTACATTTCTATCAGTTTGGGTTCAATTTCCGTTCACAAAAGTTACGATTTTAAACAAAAAACATATGAACAATAAAATACACAGTTTTACGTAAAACATGCTAAATCGGACTATTACTTTATTCAGACGTTTTACAGTGTTATAAACATGATTTGCAGCACAAGTTGGTGGGCCTACCTACAAATGACAGAAGGAAACGAAAGAAAAGTCACTGGAGAAATTGTTTGAATCTGTTATGGTGCCGGCACGTGTTCGACACACGGCCGAAAAATCGGCGACCAGTTTAGAAATCTGGCCAGCTCCGAATTCCACACATACTGGCGACAAATTTCCAACACTTTCATCTTGTTTATCTCCGAGCTTCTAACCCGTTTCCACTTTGAAACATAAATGAATCGACATGTTTTTCGCTCGAAATATGAGTGGTATAAATCTTAAACAATTCCTGGTTTTTCTTTTTGATTTCTCCGCCCAACCTTCAACTACAATCCGTTGGTATTTTCCATGTAGGAAACTTTCGATCCCATTCCCCCTTCTCCATTTTCTTTTAAATCTTCGACATATGTTTTGAGTCAAGATGTGTAAAATGAGAAGTGTTTACTGATGTAAACAAGACCAAGACATCCGAAGGAAAGAAGCTAACGACAGCCAATTAGGAAACAGTAAATCTACCAAAATGATTGTCAATTCGAAGTTAGAAATATTGTGAAGGGACAATAATGAAGGGAGAAAACAATGAAGGAGACGAAATCAACAACAGTAACAACAACAAAAACAACACAGATGTTATTGACTGAACTAAATTAATCACTGAATGCACTACGGTAGGGAAAAGAATGAATCGAAATATGTGCCAGCATCTTAAAGTAATTTCACTTTGCACTTCAATTTCATGAAAATTCTTATCAAATATCTATGGAGACAACATTAAAAATTACCTTCGAGTGAGTTTTCATCTTTGCCAACAAAAGGTTGAGATTGTAATTCACCCTCGACCCATAACATTCTGATTCATAAATACAGCTTTTTAGAGTGTAAAGCACCGACATGAAAGTTATTCATGTTTTAAAAAAAAGAAAGAATGATTACAGCGATTTGTTGGTCACGTAGCCGTATTTCTGCGCACAATCAATAAATGGTAACGTACGAGGCCAATTTACAAACATTTTGCTACTAATAAATTGACTGATCGATAGATGTTTCACGCAGTTAACTTCAGAATAAATGTATTTGATTATTCACAGATAGATCAAGATCAAGTGTATTATTGATTATATTTGTTGTTTCATTGAGACGAAATATATTGTGTAAAAGCGTCCCATGCACACCAACGCACGGTTTACAGTGTGAGTGGGAGATATGTAGCTTTCATATATTTGGATTTAACAGTGATGTACAACCTAACAATAAAATATAGAATGTAGCTGAAGTGACTTTAATAATTGTAATCATAAAAAACAGACCTACTCCAAATCATTCACGTTCAAATTACGCACCATGTACATTGGAGGGAACTTTTCAGACCCTCTTTTTCAGAATAGATAGGTATACCTAATATGAAGGATATACATATTCTAACATATCAGAAATAACTACAACAAAATTATATTTGTTATATTAAAGATCTGTTATTTTTCACACCCAGAGAACATTGTTTGAGCAACTTTTTCTTAACTGTTTTCTGGTTATTATTATATTACTCTAGATGTAATTCGTACTATATATTTATGCTGTTTTGAAGAGTTTATTTGCTGTTACTATTGCCCCTAGATAAGTGTGTTGGAAATACTCTCAAGAAGAATGTGAGAAAAACGTGTACAAAACAATAATGTATAAAAATGATGATATATTAATCTTGTTGATGTAATCAATAACGTTTGTTGTATATATTGAATGCAACATTTCTATGCCCAACGTCAAAATTATTGTAGTGCAAGCGTCGTCATTTTCTTGCACTACACGGCAGCTGTACACGTCGAACGAACGAATTAATTCACTACATGGACACAGAAAGGAAATATTTGTATACACCAATCGTTTTGATACGTATCTTTGCCCTTTTATGTCGACATAGTTTCCCATTATTTAGTGGGCGTCATAGCATTATTAGTAAGTGCAACGGGCGTTTCAGTACGGCCCTCACAGAACCTGTAATCTAGCCCCGATCCATTGTGCTTTTCAGGAGTTCAACTCTCTTATTAGATTTAGCAACTGGTCGGGAATACGGGTAAAGTATATTTATGCACGATCATACAGTGTATTGTTGTTTCCATTTGACTGTGACAAATTAAATCGAGAGTAAGATTTCAGTCTTGATTGGTGAGATATTATGTTGAGGTGAACTTGAGTTACCTACTCGATTTCGCCATCAAGAGAAAATACAATGGATAATATGCATACACTGAATCAAGTTGGTCACAATGTTTTCCCTTTTTTTCGTTTCTTTGATTTTTCTTGATAGTCTGGTGGCAAAAAAATTAGGTTCTGGACAAACTAGCTAAATTTATAAATGAAAACCACACGAAAAAGAGGCATTACCATCCCAATTCTACAAAATTATAAAAAACAGTATATAATGTCTCGTCTTATGTGTGATGAAAATACCGAATGAATAAAGACATGGGTGGACAAAATATTCAATAATGCAAATGGATATCATGATGAAGACAAACATGTTGACGACAACAAATTCATGATACTATACTAATAATTCAACTGCTTCTATTTCTACTACTACTACTACTACTACTACTACTACTACTACTATTAATACTACTGATACTACTAATACTGCTACTACTACTCCTCCTCCTCCTCCTCCTACTACTACTACTACTACTACTACTACTACTACTTCTACTAATACTTTTAGTCCTTTTTTGTCTACTAAAATCGATAAGATTAATAAAAAAAAATAAGGTCTAAAATGATTAAAGATAATAACAATAATAACAGTAATACAAGAAATAAGAGAATACTACTATCACTAATATGAATTATAATAGTTATTTAAAAAATGAGGAATGATAATGATGATAATAAGATACAAACAGCAATATAATAATAACACTGATATTGATGTAGATGATACTGATGACGGTAGGGACATTAATAATATTCATAATATTTGATAACGATAAATGGCTCTAAAGTGTTTATAGTAATGACTACAAACATTATCGTACATGTATTTCAATAAACCATTAAAATCATTTTTAAGTCATCAGTGAAGTTTAAATGTTGATATTTAAGTTTGGGTTCAGGGTATTTAGATGCGAAGCTTTTAGAGACCCATTTGATTCTAAAGATACAGTAAACAGAGAAATAGTTTTAGTAGATATTAGGTTTGCACAAACGTGTGAAGTCAGGACAGAATATGTCCCAACACTCTTTCAAATCTTGAAAGATTAACTCAGAGAATAAAAACATTCTAGAACATCTTCATTTTCTTGGCACAGGTATAATGTTTTCCTTTGTAATTTAGAGTTGCCCCTAGACATAAATTATATGAGTGAAGTGTTATAGTCACACTTACAGTTTATCGACGATAAAACTCTGAACAATGTGGGATTGCTACAAAACGTACGTGTAAATGATCACGAGATGGTCGTTAAAGATGCAATGAAATATGTTTTTTGTGCTATTCATTGCCCAAAGGAATGTCTTAATAGGCTTGCAACGGATATTTCCCATGTAATATTCCCAATTCATCACATCATTTCATCTCATGCCAAATATGTTTACGTATAATGCATCTCAACTTACATTATTTTGTTTAGCAGAGGAGAAAAATGAACTTACACATTTTATGTTTTTTTCTTCTCGTTTTCATACATTTGTTTTGCTAGAAGGCTCATGAATGCAAAATAAATTAACAAACATTATATTCAATTACTAAATAATTAAAGTTTTATTGCATCGTATGTGTATATCAAGAATTGAATGGCTCAGCATAACATTTGGTATGACTAAATACACCACCCCTGATTTCACTCCGAATTTCTGAATCTTCTCTCATAATAGGTATTTATTCAGCTTCTGTTCTTGATATTTTTTCACCAACCATGATATTCTTGCACAATCTGAAAGTCGCCAGGGTAACATGATATAGGGGAACAGAACAGAATGTATTGCATTACGAAAGTAAGAAAACATTGTTAAGGGAACAAATGCAAGAAGAAGTAAGAGTTGTATATCTAGAGATCGATTGGTATATGAATAAGCAGACCAACAAAAAAAAAACACGATTTTTTGGAAAGTAGAAGGCATGCTAGGAAGAAAAAAAAAGGAAGCACGGGTATCGACGTTGCACTGGGGGCTAGGGGGCACTCACCGTTCTTTCATCCCGGCGGATTCGGCGATCTGTTTGCTGGTCTGTGGCTCTTTCTGAGTGGCGATCACGTTAAAGAGGCCCGTTTCACACCCCAGGCTCAGGGCGAGGGTGATCGTCGCCGCATTGATGGTCTTCATCATCCGATGAGCAAACTCCGGAGGAGTCTCCTCGCTCCCAGCTTCGGCTTTCCGCATTCGAATCTCCGCATCCATTGTTTTAGAAACAGGTATGTGCTGGTAATCTGAGAATAAAATTGGTTTCTAGTGCTTGAGAGTGAAACAAGAACAGCTCCCGAAAATGTGTACAGCTGGGCCTAGGTGTCGATCCTACTTGTCTCTTGGCGAAAAAGAAATCGGCCTAATCTTCTTTCTTTTCCGAGTTGTCAAGAAAATCCCGGAAAAATCAGGAACAACTACAGTCCGGAATGAGCCGTGAAGAGGGAAGAGTCGGGCAAAGAAGAGAAACTACCAGCCCCGGCGTCAGATCATGAAAGTGATAAAAATCGAGCTCCTTGCGTTAGAAATGTGGATACTGCTCTTTGGTCGGTTCACCTCCTACTTGCTTGACTTGCTCTTACCAGAATGATTAGGGTAGCTGGCAGACAAACTAAATATATACATCCCCATCTCATAAGAGATACATGCTCCTATCTGGAGATTGTCTCTTTGCTTTCACTGCGCACGCTCAGATTTTCTTCCCTAACCTCTCTCCTCTGCGAGACTGTTCTCTCGTCTGTCGTTTCTACGATGATCGGGGCGTACACGCAACGCACATCACACAACCCTCTATCAGCCAATACTAATGATATAGCTGCTACGGCGGCGGCCGACCCATGGCAGCAGCGACTATTCACTCAAAACTTGAACTTCGCAAAGTCACATTCACAGGGATGGATAGAGGAAGGAGGAGGAGGATGAGGAGAGGGGAGAGAGAGAGAAGAAGAAAATGATAGAGGGGGATTAAAATCTCCTAAATAGAGATTAAAAAGAGATAGAGGTACAGAGGGTCACACACACAGAGTAAGAGAGAGAGAGAGAGAGAGAGAGAGAGGGAGGGAGAGAGAGAGAGAGAGAGAGAGATTCAGAAAAAGGGGGGGGGGCAAGTAGGAGAAAACTGAATCATATCACATGTATATTCTCTAATCCATTAGCCAGTCATGCCAGTGGCAGTCGGCTTTTTTTTGTTTGCGAAGAAAATGACAAAATGATTTTATTGTGCTGAATTACATGTCTCGAGATTTGACCTAAGGTCTCTTTTCTCCCCGGATTTCCCTCTTTCTTTCGCTTTTGAAGCAGGCAAGGTTAGAAATGACATGAATAATGACTTTATTCTTGTTTTCTATTCTTGATATTCTATGGATATATCGCTAGAGTAAAACCCGTAAAACGAATTTTATAACAATATTTGTATTTTTGTTGATAAAGATCCAATACAAATAATTCTTTTCAACATTAAAGTCACTCTTTTATTTTACAAAAAATTATTATGATATCAATTAACACTTATTAGGCTAAGGTAAATGGGATTAAGAACGATTTACGATTTTATTGGGTTGGTATTAGCATAAAAGAAAAGGTGACTAATTAGTAATTATCACGAAGGGTGAAATATCATAAAAATGGACAAAGGAGAAAGACGAGTTATTGGCACAATCTATAGGGACAATCCTGCACCAAAAACAGGCCACTGGTGCATGCTTTTTAAGGCATATTATAAGTGTGGAAAGAAAGTAATTATTTGAAGGTTGTAATAAATATACACAAACAAAATGTGAATATACATAGGTCCTTTCAACAATTCTGAAGACACATACGACGCTAACCGAAAAATAACAGAATCAACTTTTATAGTTTTAAAACTCTAAATTTTAAGAAAAGTACCATCACCAGCCCCAAGAAGTGAGGGAGCAGGCCGATAAATTTATAAATGATTTTAAGTAGGATCCTTGCATTTTCTTTGATAAATTTTAAAAATTTTAAGGAAAGTTTTTAAAGTGATAATTTTCCATTCTTTTACCGACTCCTAATATTTGTTTAACAATTATGTATATCTTTGCAATAGTCTTAAGCTTAAGTTACATCAACCGTTTGACTGGTTGCCGACTTCTGACAACCAACAAAATAAAATTCTCGACCACTGAAAACCTTTTTAAAGACTGCCAAAAACCTCTTGGTGACCTCTGACAACTAACTCCCGACCAGTGGTAGTCGGGAGTTAGCTCTAGTGTGATATGGGCTTTCATATAACACACTGGGCGTACTTATTTTTAAATAGCTTGCGACTTTTCATTATTATACTACTCTACTATCCGGATTATTGAGAAAATACTTAAACAAAGTTCATTAATCTTTATTGTCAATTCTTTTTTTATAGAGTTTCATAATAGTTTGTGTATAGTGTTTTTATTTCATGTTGCACTATTGTATTTTAGGCCGAACACTATTCATGTTAAAAACAATGTACGTTGGATAAATAAATATAATGAAATGACATGAAAATTGAATAAAATCTTTATTTTTCCCAATATGTTAAACACCCATGCACGGGTTTAAATATTAGTAAGTACAATGAAATAATGTCATTTAATTTCGTTTAAATGATATATGTTAATGCATTCAAAAAGGTAGAGTGGGGATATTGGCAAAATTATCAGCGTTAAGTCTATGAATATAACGATTTTCTTCTCTTTGTGACCTAAAAAGTTTGATAGAATATTATGTTTCCCGAATGAAGTACAACACTGATGCACAGTATTCGCATAAACGATTTGTTTTAACATTCCAAAACATATTGTCTTCTTGTGTGGTTGTCCCCTGACTTTGGTGTTATCATACAATAACATATTTTAAACAACGGTGCCCCTTGTATGGGACCTGCGTACATAAAAATTCTGCATTAAAACAAATTTATATTCAAATTTATTTCTAAATTAGAGATCGAGTAACTGTTGTCATTATATAGTCTTTACAATTTGTAGCTCTTTGAGACTTTCATATGGTCATTTTCACCTTTATTCCTATGATTATTCATAGGAGTGTTTGGAGTTTGGTCGTTTGAAGTAATGAAACTTGTGGGTAAAATGTTAAAGAAAAACAAATCTGGAAAGGTACTGCAGCCCATGGTAGCCAACGAATGGGACTCTTTCTTCATCAGAGTTAGATGTACATTACAGATGATTATTAGGGCAGGGAATACATCTGACATGTCACGAATTCAAGTCATCATTTACGTGCTCTCACTAGAGATTCAAACCGAAGACTTTTTTCTATCCCCTGCTGTACTGTTCAGGTCGTTTCCCTTTCACCATGGAGGAAGAGGGACGGAAAATGAAGCTCTTTCCCTCCCCCACCTTCCCCGTCACCGACCAGCTCACGACTGATGGGCCTACTTACCATGTACTTTTCAGCTGTACTTTTCGATCATGCTATACACCCATATCGTGTCAGGCCTGAAGTTACAATTCCTGCCCAGCGCATGCAAGGGCATTAGGGTTGAATGTCGCACTGGCTACCCCGGCTGTATCCCATTACGCCCCACTCTCGGTCTTACTACTGGCCAACACAAATCATGCATCGAAGTTGGAGACGGTTAATGCCAAAATGTAAGAAAATGTATTTGAATAACCATGTGATTCTTTTATCATCCATACCATTACATAAATACTCAATTAATTTTCTTTATTTTCTATTGGACGTTAATTTTTGACAGACCTATTAACATGATTACCATAACATGACAATTGAAGATCGAATAATACACATATTGAAGAATTCTATTTTCTATGACTTTTTCTTTCGTATCTTCAAAATCATTTTGTAATATTCCTCGAACCATTACCTCATCTGACTCTCATATTCATATTCCAAAGGATTAGCAGTTGGCAATCTTTAACACGATAATTCTACGAAACGTTCTTTATAATTAAGTCCTGAGTTTACTATAGTTGCTTCCTCGTAAAGTCAACAATATTTGAGACTCAGACGGGATGACCAATGCACTTGGCATATTACTTGATGCCCCATCCATGACAGGTCATCCCTAAATATTGGCCTCCTTAATCCTCAGTCTCCCTACGCCTATTAACCTAAGTGTCCCTGGGGGCAAATCAACGTAAATCCAAACTCTCTGACCTACTTTACTTTCCTTCTTCACCGAAAAGCACCATATAGAAGGAGAAGGGGTAGAGGAGGGGAAAAAGGCATCTTGGAATATTTTCTTATTCTCCCCGGTTGGCCTGAGTTTGATCACTTCATTACTGTCTAATTTCAATCAGTGTATTAATTGCGGGAAAAATATCGATGACCCTGAAAATAAGTTTGGCGGAAGTTTTGATTTACTTCCGTGGCGCGACTGGTATAAGCCTGCATTGAGTGATCCAGGGCAATGACTTTGACCGTTAATAACCTCCAGAAAAATAGCTCTCGATAAAGAAGGCGATATTTACTGAAGTAGGCTGTATTGGCAATGTATGCTTTAAAATACCATTGATTTGTTAAGCTATAAATTCAACCAAATTGGTGAGGTGAAAAGTATATGGGCATCAATGGCTTCAGGGAATAAAAGTTGATAGTAAAAGCCTACCTGTGAAAACGGTATCAACCTCTAGTACATTATTGACAGGATAAGTCGTAACCAATGATGTTGATTTGTCTTGAGCAAGCTTTGTTTTAATTACACTTAATAATATAATTCATTAGCTAATTGATTCCAAATACCAGTTATGAATGATTGACTCATTTTAATGCAAATTTCCATTTATTCCAATAACATACTCAAAAAGAATTATCGGTAAATATTATAATGGTAAAAATAATAACACACATTTACCCCAAAGCGTCAATATTACGTTCCTACGTGCATTTTAATTTTTTCGAGGAGGTAAGGCTACTTTTTTAAAGGGACATGTATCTCTGTTTTCATTGCAATAGCCTACACAGTGCCTTTAAAGGGTTCGCAGTTATCATAATACGTCATTATTTTAGCGGAATATTTTGAACATGAACATTTCATTGGGTAAATCATCCTAAATGTATCTCCATTCGTGTATTAAACGATTTAAAACAAATAACAAAATTCCTAACTTCAAGCATAGTCATTCTAATTTTGTTGAATGGAAACTTTCAAAGATGTTTTGAAACTGGGAGTGACAGGATTTGGCATTCTTAGACAAATTACATCCTTGTAATACTATTGGTATTTGATATACTTAACTAGATAAGATAAGCTAACAATTGACAAATAGCCAAGTAACTTTGATAAATGATGCCATGAAGTTTCGGTTACTAAAGCAAACTGAGAGTCTAGAATAAATCAATGGAAAAAACGCGAACATTTGTGTATTTTGAAATGCCATCAAGCTCGATCCAAAGCCAACATAGGTTTACTCAAACGCTCTATTTTATCCACAGTGAAAACACTTTAGAAATAAGCACTATTTATAACCACGTTTTTATCATAAAGCTTCTAAAAGCAGATGATCGATTGTAGATCAATTTAAAATCTGTCTCAAGTCTTTATCTTAATTTTAAGCCAAAAAATCAATGTCACTATTTCAGCCTGCCTGCCTTGATCCTATATATGGTGTATAGTTTTCTTTGTATTTCAGTTATTGTTATAATTCACTTGCAGTTTTGTATTGTCAGTATGTTACTGATTTATTTACTATGCTTTGTAATACTATTGTACATGTATATACATCACTGTTCTTTTGTAAAT